TTCAGACCCATAGAGTCTGACACAACTGACGTGATTTGTTTTATTCAGGGTAGGAAACCAAAACAAATCTTATTTTTTGAACAAAACAAACAAAGTCTATAATGCAGCACGTTAACCAATTACATACAAAAATGATTTTGTATTTTCTAATCAAAAAGTTCAAAAAAAGAGAAAACCAAATGGTCTTTGATTTCATAAGCTACGGTCCTGGCTGATTCTTTTTAATTATACACACATTTGCATCTGTGTATCACGAAATGTTGATTTTGATATCATCTGGAGCCTCGATCAGTGTTATTTCGTTCAGATCTTCACTTTTGTAATTTTCCATCGATAAAAGACAGAGCTACGTTTTTCAACAAGATATGTTGCCTTTAAAAATTTCTCTATTCATGTGTGTGGAATTAATAATTATTAATCAAGTTCTATCCAGAGTAGAGAATACGATAAACGAAAAGGCCGAACTAATATGTGCACAAGTTGTTAGTAAACATTTATCAATCACAAATCTATTTGTTATTGACTGAGTTTTATTATTGAAATTGCATAGATCTTTCATCATGGTTTTCGAAATCCATTTTCAAGTTTTCCGACAGGTATAAATCTTTTTATTTTATTAATAAAGAATTTATTTGTATTAGTTTGTTAATTTGTGTTTATAGATCCATGGAAAGATAAAAAGCATTTCATCGGTGGATTTGGAGCACTTTTAAACGTATTGTATTGCAACAACTTATGTATAATAATTGAATTGCCAATCGATAATTTTATTTTGCTTTAAAACAGTTTCATCACTTTTATTGTTTAATTTTTTGTTCAATGTTTTAGAGTGGAAAACAGCAACAATACGAACTGGGCAAATATTTGCGAAGAAGATATCTTCTTGGAAATGAACGAAACATAAACAAGATGGTTTATGTTCAAAGTAAGTGTTTAAGAAGATCTCTTTGATTGCAAATGGTTAAAATCCATGCATTCTACAGGCATTGATGACGAGCGTAGTTTGATGAGTGCCGAGACGGCGATGGCTGCTTTTAGTTTAACCGATGTTAATAATAGTTCGAGTGTGCATTTACAATGGCAACCAATTCCAGTGCACACAATTCCACAAGAAAATGATTACATTTTGGTTGGAACAAAGTCATGTGCTCGCTACAATCATGCGTATAAAATGTACAAAAAATCTACCGAATATAAAGCATTAATGAAAAAATCAAAGACTTTATATCAGTACTTGGAGAAACATTCGGGAAAAGAGATGAAAAATCTTCAATCCGTTCACAACCTTTACGATACACTCCGAATTGAAAATTTACAAAATAAAACGTAAGAGATTCCAGATTTTGTCGTTGAAATCGTTCTTCTATTTTCATTATAATTTGAATGTGGTATTCTGATTAGTATGCCAAAATGGACTCAAAAGGTGATTGCACAGCCTGAATATGAATCGATTGCGGTACTGTCACTAATCCGCGGCACTGAAACACCCGAAATGGCGCATTTGAGTTCGGGCTTTTTAATACGTGAAATATTGGAGCGTTTCAAAGAAAAAATCAAATCAAACTTGGTGCCGGATCGTTCACTTTTCTTCTATTTTGCAAATGATGCAACAATCGCTCGTGTCTTAAATGTTCTCGGACTATTCGATGTAGGTCCATTTAGTTGATTTTATTCTTCTACTTTCATCTTTATTTCTTTTCCCATTTAGTTCTATATTGTGCCATTCGCAGCGAGTCTTCATTTTGAATTGTACAAGTCAAATGATGACCTTTACTTTCAAATCGTCTATAGAAATACAACAGAAGAAAATCCATTGCCCCTCGACATTCCAATGTGTGGAACAAAATGTTCGTTGGAAAAGTTTCATGAAATCTATGCAAAAATCATTCCAACTGCATCTTTTGAAGAAGAATGCCGAATTCCAACTGCTTTTGATGATTTTAAAAATGGAAGTAAGGATATCACGGTTTTTTTTTGTTTGAATAACATAAATATTTGTTTTTTCTTCAAGGCCTAGTTTTGCTAGTGAGCCTATTCATGATTTTAACAGTCATTGCTGTCTTGTCATGGATAGTTACTCGGGAGGAAGCAGACCCTGAATGAATTCAACGTGGAAAAAATTCAAATCAATAAATTTTAAAAATGTGATTTAAAAAATACACTTTTTGCAAGCGATTGCTATATATAATATTGCTCAGCGCTGCTGCCATCCACAGCATATTAAAATATCTTCATCACAGTGAACAACAATACATGCATTGTTCTCTATACAATCGTTTTAATGTTTTGACTCAAAACTTTTGAGTCACATAATCGTGAAGAGAACAATGCATGCATTCTTGTTTGCTGTGATGTATAAACTCCTACGTACATTCGCATGCGACGGACGACGCATTCTCAGCAAGATATTTCAATATGCTGTGAATGGCAGCAGCGCTGAACAATACTCTGATTTTAATTGATAATTCAAATATTTTCCGAATTAATTGGGATCCCAATATTTAGTCAGATGATTTCAATATTGAGCATAATTTTTATTTGCAAAAAATCTATATTTTCTTCGAATTTTTTTTTACTGTGATTAAACAGACATTTATGTTTACTTATTCAATCTGGTAAAAATATCATTAATAAACAGTTTATGTATCATAATTTTGTTAAATTGAAATCTAACCAAAGCATATGCCAAAATATACTAAAAATGCAAAAAAAAACAATTCTATATAATGTGAACTCTGTATAATTACCTGTACTGTTTTCGAATAATTCCTTTATCTTCTCAAAATACAATTTCGAAGTACAATAGTAACAATTTCTAAGTGAATCGTAATAAAATCCGCCTGAGTTAATCAAACAACATCGTTATTTATTTAACATGAATCGAATTTAGATGTAATCATTCCAAAAAATAATTGGCAAATGGTTTTGGCAAAATGTGTGCAAATGTTTGAGTAGCTGATTTTCTAATAATATTGTTGTTCACCTAATATATCACATTTATAGCATTTGAGATTACTAGATTTTATCAATATTAAGCATTAAATTTTGCTTGTATTCATTGAAACTTAAGATTTTCCAATGTTGTCTTTCGTCCTTTAAATTACATGGTGTTACGATCACCATCCAAAGCTCAGTGGCCAAACACAAGCCCGTTGCGATGTGGACAATTTGGTTTTTCTAAATAAATAATAGAAAATGATTGAATAAAAAGTGGAATATCAATTTAAAATGAGCAAAGTAAAAGATTCTTACTGCTTGGTCATATAACCATTTGTTGCCGTTGTTTGCATCACACTGTAGAAGAAC